AAATACATCCATAACAAAATACAAAATTTTGCATTAAAATTTACCTCATGCATATATGGCTACATTTCAACTTTTGTACCTGCAATTAAATTTATTTTAATAATATTCCCACTCACTAGTACCCTAACAGAACAAAAGAAAAAACATGAACAGATAAAGATTGCAGTGAATTCGGCATGATTAAAAGAATAAACAAGGAAGTATAGGGTTACTAAATATTTTTAGGTCCTGGGTTCATGCTGGTTTATTAAGTGTTTTTTTTTTTTATTTCAGCATATTATGGGGATACAAATGTTAGGTTACGTATATTGCCCATGCCCCATATGAGTCAGAGCTTCAAGTGTGTCCATCCCCCACGCGGTGGGTATTGCACCCATTACACGTGTATATACTCATCCCCTGCCCCCATCTGCCGGACACCCAATAAATGCTACTACTATATATGCACTTAAATGTTGATCAGTTAAAACTAATTTGCTGGTGAGTACATGTGGTGCTTCTTTTTCCATTCTTGGGATACTTCACTTAGTAGAATGGGTTCCAGCTCTATCCAGGATAATACAAGAGGTGCTAGATCACCATTGTTTTTTGTGGCATAATAAAACTCCATGGTATACATATACTACATTTTATTAATCCACTCATGTATTGATGGGCACTTGGGTTGTTTTTTAATTTTTTAAATTAGTGATGCATAAGTTTTTAGTGCTTTCTTCTCTGAATCCTTAACTTTTATTATATGACAGGTAACTAACATGCCATTTCCCTTCTCCTACCCCACTGTGTTCTTGTCAATAGAGTCAAAGGTATCACATGACAGTCAACCATTGATTTTCCATCTGTCCTTGCCCTTGCAAAATTTGTCACCCACCTCTCCTGTTTTGTGCTTTAGATGCAGTATCTGCTGGGCTCCCACTGGGGAAGCCCTTGATGGTTGGCTTTATGTGATCCCTTTTACAGATTACAAACTAATTTAATTGAAATCACTGTGGATAGAGAAAAGAAACCGTCACATTCCTCAAAAACTTTCTACCTTAATCAGTCATCAAGCCTATGAATAAAATATATGTCACCCCTCAAAAATAGCAGAAAAAATACACACTTATAGGAGGTAAATCACCAACAAATAGTTAGTTCTAATCTCTCTCACTTTCTACCTTTGTCTGTCTCTTTAAATCAATTATCACCAAGAACAATAAGATATCTTTGTTAAGGAAAAATAAATATCTAAATAATAAAGATATAGAAAAAGAACCCACAAAATTTGAGCAATGTCACAGAGCTATAAAAGTGAAGTCTAGATTTGTCCATTTTTCTGATTTAAATAATTTCCTAGTTAACATAAAAATTTCAGATTTTGATGTTAAAAAATGCTGAGTATATGTTAAAATGCATTAAGGATTAACCTCAGTTCTGTGAAAACTGATTCCCAATAAAGCAGTAGGCTCCTGTTCTTGCCATTGGCTTGCTTTAGGCTGAAGCTGCATAATAAGCTTCCTCTGGACTTTAGTGCAAAATGGACATACAGCATAAAGTATTTAACACATCTGTAATACCTTTCATGTTTACAGCTGAAAGAGCTTTAAAAAATCCAATTCATTCATCAAGCTTCATAAACTCTGAAGGACATGCATAACTACAGCTCTTCATGTGACTAACTACTGGCAGCAAGCAGTCAGATAGGTGGCTTAATGGGGAAACAGTTTTTAACTGTTCAAATTTTGAATTTTTGTATACCCATAGGAAGTCAGAGGCATGATGAAGAACCACTGAATCACTCACTGTAAAGTTCTCTGGCTGTCTCTACTTGGGAAGAGATTGTTTAGATCTGATTTGGAGAAGGGTCCTGGCTAACTCCATGATTTGGTGAGAAGCAGAATCACTTATTAGAAGTCTCCATGTGGCATACCAAAGGAAATCCATAGAATTCATAGTAAGAAGAAATGGTTTAGATATTTTTGAAATACTAATTATAAACACTAAGCTAGTATTCTCAGTGCATAATTAGTTCTCCCAAAGTGAAACACTCTGGGAAGTTTGTAACATTTTTTAGGCTGATATCCGGGCAAAACCTGGTTTGCTAGTTATGGTAGACTGTAAAATATTTGTGAATAAAGTAAATCATTTTTCCAGAAGAAAACTGCACTATGAAAACATTGTGAGAAGAGAGACATATATGATATGAGTTGTAAGATTTGGTTCTAGGATATGGGTTTTCCCTTGGGGAATGTAATTAATTAAAAGACAATATAGAATTGTGGAAAGATCTCAGGTGTCAGCCTTACCTAATACAAATTCATATCCTGACTTTCCCATGTATCATGCATAAGTTATCCCATTTCTCTGGGCCTCAGATTCCTAACATGTAAATGAGAATAATAATACTTACTCTCATGGCATTATTGAGAATAATAAATGAAAAAATATCTGAAAGTGCCTAATGGATTTTTCTAATAAATCACAGAGTGTCATTTAAGAAATCATTTCTTCCTTATTCCCCACAAATCTCAAGCCCTTTGAACTTTTTTAGGAAAGAACATCCCTATGTGGAGATGATACTGGGCATCCTCCATGCGTAGGTGATGGAGACTTGCAATAAAAAAATCAGTATGTATGAGGACATACAGGAAACAACTGATATGGGCAGTAGGGTCAAGGACCATCGGCCCCAACCCTTCCCAGTCCCTGGGACGGTAGTAGGAAATCCCATTCCTCACTATTTCTAACAGTTTTTTTTTCAAATGGGTGGAAGCTCTAGGAAGCAAATTTGAGCTCAATTTAAAGACTTTCAAAATAATTATACCTCTCTGACAGTAGGAAAGCATATTAGTAAATAGCAGATCTAGCACTGGGGTGAGATTTGAGATATTTAAGCAAATGGTGAATATATCTTTAACAATATATAAAATTATAAAGTACCTTATACTTTTATGTGCATTGACTTAAATCCTCACAATAACTATAAATTTGACATGTGGATCCTCCATTTTATAGATTAGGCCAACAGTGATTAAATAATTGGACCAAATATTGGTAGATGACCAGCTTTGGAGGATACTGTAGAGTGATATTGTAGGTAGTACATAACAGGGATCGGTCATTTAATTTTTATAACAACTCTATATGTAATTGGCACTATGCAGAGATATTCTAGAGCAGGGGTCTTCAAACTTTTTAAACAGAGAGCCAGTTCACTGTCCCTCAGACCATTGGAGAGTGTGCACTGTGGGCCTGGGACGAGTCGGCTGCTAAGCAGGACAGGCAGTGGCTGCAAAAACACCTGGAGAGCCAGATAAATGTGTTATGTGGCCCATATGTGGCCCCCGGGCCATAGTTTGAGGATGCCTGTAGAGTATAGACTAGGGGGGATATATGGCTAGAAGATAACAAAGAAAGTTCTGCAAATCTCAGAAGTCTATTATTCCAATTTCTAGAATTAGGATCTTTTTCTCAAATGGACTTAGTTTGACTTCAAAATTCTTGTACCTGAGATAGTATTATTAATGCTTTCTAGTTTACTGATACAAATGCAGTGACAAACATGCTAGACATCGAAGTCTTCTTTTCTAGGCTGAAATTATAGATGCTTACTATGTGCCAGGCAAAATACTAAGTACATATCATGCATCTGTCATTTAACATTCTCATAATGACCTCATAGAATTAGTACTGTTGTTATTTTTGTCTTTCACATGAAGAAACTGAAGCACTCAGAACTGAAATAGTTTGCTAACAGTCACACAATTAGTAAGAATAGAGATGAAAATCAAAACCAGGTCTATTCAACTCCAGAATGTGTAATCCTAACCACTATGCTAGATGGTGTTATATGTAGTGCTGTAACTCACTGTAATTAAGTAAATTTTATAGATATAATAATGATAATGTCTCAACTGAGAGCATATATGTAAATAAATACTGGCAGCATGATTAACAAATTCAAAATAAGAATTGTTACATACTTTTTATCAAAAGCTAAAACAGTATTTTTTACTTAACTAAAGGCTTCATCTTTTGTAGCATTCAGAATTATTAGGACATGATAGTTTAATAAATATATCAAATCAAAGATTATATCATTCTTAAACATTTCAAAATATTCTATACCTGGAATGGAAAGCTCTTTTTTTTTTTTTCTTTGAAGCCCACTGGCTTACGGGAGAAACAAAATTAGACTAATTTTATTTAGTCTCGATTCATCTCAACCTCAATTAGAAATATGAAACACCCACTACTTTTGTTGTAAAAATAATTTAAAAGTGAGACTACAGTATGTATGTATGATATTTAATATATTATAATTTAGCTTTTTATTAGGGATAAATATAAGAAAAAGACATTTTACAGATGAGAAGGGGAGACAGAACTATACAGATAAACCAAGAGAAAGATTGAGTAAAACACCAATGAACAATGAACCGAAAATAAATTCATCCATGCTATACAGACATACACCCTTAGAAAAGGGACATAAAGATGATATGCAACTGGCATATAATAAGTGATTAATTAATAAGGGAGTAAGCTCAGGACATGGATTTCCATTATGTTATATCCACATTTTATGGTTTTCTAGTCTTTCAAAGTTATGTTGTACTTTCCCAATATCAGTATAAACTACTGGCATTTGACAGTAGACCAGAAGACATTAAAGAACATGATCAGATCACTATGATACATGATGAGGTAAATTTAGAAAACTGTTGTAAATGAATTAAGAGTTAGAACCTCTTACGAAGTAATTAGCCTTCAATTTGGGTGTTAAACAGAATTATAACTTGTTAGTTTCCATTTTCACCATGGAAAATGTTTTGTTGTTTACCTCCATTGACCACATGAACGTGTATTTTTCAAGTTTAAATTCTCATCATAAAGGCATAAAAATTATATCTCTGTGTACTATAACTCGCTCAAGAGTTTTTACTCTCCTATATAAATCAAACGAAATTAACTGCATTTGCAATAGCTGGTGACCACCAGACTGCAAGAAGCCTCAGTACCTGTTGTCTCTCCAGACGCATCCTCTTGGCAGCATTTCTACTCTCACTCTCACAGGCTGAAGCCAAGATACTCTCTGCAACTGCTGAAGTAAGGTGAGAAGGAATAGGTCGAGACTAAAAAGAAAAAGAGAAAAAAATATGAAAAAAAATTATTAACAGTATCATTAACAGGCAGGCCAACGCTAATCTCAGAAGAGCTCACGGGACCATCAACACGTGCAGGAGTATCCATTTATTTCAACTGAACTTATTTCAATAAAAAGAGGAAATGGAAAATTGCAAAGATGAAAAATGAAAGCTAGTTAGAGGTTAAGCTATCATTGCTACACAGATCCATCATTCATTCCCACAGACCCATCCTCACAAGTATCTAGTCTGAGCCATTAAGCTGCAGTTTGAACAGGCAGTGACAGAATTGCTAACTGGATCTGACAAATAAAACAAGTTCTTTAGTTCATTTATAACATATGACAATGCACAAGAAAACAAAACAAAAACAAGTGACAGGGCTGAAACATAGTTTTTTTAAAAAAAAACTAACAGATACTCAGACCATGTCAAACAATCTTACTATGAAATATTATGAATATTTATAGCCTAAGTTGTGACACAATTGATGTGATTAAAATGCTTTTAAAAATACTTATTTTAGTTTAAACACAAAATAAAAAGTCAGTGCTAGCATTATTTTGATATACCAAAGGTTTGGTGTTTTCAATGTGAGATAATGTTTACCCATGTGTGTACATGCATGTTTTGTTTCATTTATAAAATATGAGTTGACATTATTAACAGGTATATGTTGAAATCTATCTTCTATGTAGCCCACACAGAAATTAATTAATCCCCCAACTAAGCTCCTAATTAACTATAAATTATTTGTAGCTCTTTATATCATTTGTGATAATCATAGAAAAGTTTTCCATTTTCCCCATAATTGTATGCAAAAACATCTAACTGAAAGATGAAGTACTTAATGATATAGAACAGTTTTTTAATTATGATAAGCAAATTATAGATAAGAAATAACATAAAAATTAAACCAGATAAGACAATACAATAATGTGAAATCACAAAACAAAAGTATCATTTGGGAATCTAGCATCTATAGTGACATGCTGCCTTAGGGTTTTCAAAGGCTCAGTCCAAAATAAGTGTGAATATTGTTAATTAGAAGCTTCCAAACTAATTGAGGTCTTTTATACTTTTTAAAAGAAACTTGAACATGCCTTTATTGTACTTCATTCATTTGACCAACTCTGGCATGTAAAATGTGCCTGAGCAAATTGAAACATAGGGTTGATGTCTCAAATAATATTTTGGAACAGATAAATTCAGACCACGGTGATTTAAAAATATTCCTTGATCAAATTTGTGTAGTGTAGAAAGAGACCAGGCTCTGATCTTGGGTGAACTAGGAAACAATTTCTGCAGGTGCTTCAGCAAACTTCCTCTCTGCTTCCCCTCAAAGTAGCCTCTGTAGGCAAAAGGGAGGAGAGATATAGGCTTCAGTCTTCATTGCTAACCCTATGAGATGTCTGACATGATGGTTAGATATATCTGGAATGCTATTTTTGCAAAAGAAAGAGAAGAGAGGTGCCCCTGAGGTGGCAGGAAAAAAATACAATAAAAGTATTCTGAGAAGGAAATTAGAAAGCCAGAACTGTGCCTTGGGAATAAAGGATCAAACGAGGTAAAGGTTAAAAAAAAAAAAAAAGTCTGTAGTCCAGAACTAAATAACCAAATAAATATGAAGCTATAAAATTAATGTCTCATTAGTAGACAGACACTGCTGGGTTCAAAATTGTAACCTATTCTACATGGGAATTAGGTATTTATTAATATCCTTCTTGATTGAACTAGTTTTTTGAGGCAAAGGTGTTGTAGAAAAAATAAGAATAAGAACATTTCATTACAAAAAAAGAAAAATCATTTGATTGTAGCTAGCATCACTCAAATAGGAATGAGGGTTTACACCTTTATAAACTTCATTATTAGATCCTTTATCTGGTTCCAGAGATGAAATTAACAGAATCTAAATAAAACATCAGCAACCTCCCTTTTCTGAATTGAATTCTTGATAGCCACATGGGATTCATAGAGATATATGTTAGTTCTTCATTACATCTATTATTCTCTCTTTATCAGACAGAATATATTCCAAATTAGGAATATATAAAGCTATAGAATTTTATTCAATTGATTAAACTGTATTAATAAACACACAAATTCTTTCAATGTATACAAGTTTGTTGAATAAGGAGAACACACACTAAAATATCCCTTTAATTAAAATTATTTGGTAGCATTTGCTTTCAAATTATTTTTAATTTTTAAAATCAACTTTTACTAAACAAAGAGTAAAAGTTGTTATGTATAATTTATATAATTTCCTTTTCAGAGAAAATGATGGGGAAAGTTGGGTCTTCCCCAGATATGTTAAATTGGTCTTCTCAGAAATTACTCTATTTAATAGAATAAGATCTTGGCTGAGTGGAGCTAGATATTCTTTAAAGTCACTTGATAACTTAATGTTTCAAGATTTTGGGAAAAAGTCAGCTTCAAGATGAAGCATGTACGTTTCCCTATTGAGTGGGAAAAATAAGTAGAAACAAAGATACATAATTCAACATTGCCTGTAGATAAATAGTATAATTTTGAAAATAGAGTTGTTCTGAGTTTATTGTAGAATTATAATTTGATAACTGTAAATAGCCATAGAAATGATCCAGTACTCATTTCTTCTCTAAACTTGGAAGAAACTGAAACTCAAATAGATTAAGCAATTTGCCAAAGGGCAAATTGAACTAGCTCTAAACCCGGGTTTCATGTCTCCCAATTTTCAACTCTTTTACTCTCTTAAATTCTGTTGTCTATTTTGTACTTTCACATAAGTTATCGCTAACAAAACAAAATATTCTAAACAATTTCTTATATACAAACCATTGTTTTCAACTATAAAGAAAAGTAAGCAGGTCAAAGATTGCCCTTTACATGGATGTGTTATAAGCATCATAATTAATTCAAGCTCATTGGTAAGAAAGGCAGAATGCATTCACAAAATCTATATTCCAGTTTAAGAATATATATGTATTTATCAAAGAATTTACTATATCTCAAATATATAATCAAATGGGTATCTCCAAATGGAAATCCAGATCCATCCTCATTTAATTTTTAGGTAAATGTTAATAATAAGTAACTGCTATTGGGTGCTTAGGATGTACAGGCATTAATACAAAAAGCTTAGATTCATTATCAGATTTAATCTTCCAAACAGTCTTTGAGTAAAGTACTTATACTAATCATATTTAAGATAAAACCAAACTAAAGTTCTGAGAGATTATACAACTTGGCCAGATTGTGCAGCTATGTATGTGGAAACTTCTGGATTTGAATCTAAGTCCCTGATGATAAATTGGGAATAATAATCCTTAGTAAGCAATTATTCTCATTTTACAATTAAGGCCTCAGTGACCCTACATAAAGGAATCCATTTACAACTAACACCTCTTTGCATTTAAGTAAAGAATATATTAGGATCTCCCTAATATCCTTCTCTTAAAATGATTGAAATCCTCCTAATGTCTTTTCCTATTCTTTAGAATCCTTCTTCAATAGTAGAGCAAAGATAAAAATGAAACTTATCTCAGTTATGCCACAAATTCAAAACTGATGCAATCTAAATTCACAAGATCTTAATGTAGCCAGAAGTGCCAAGAAATTACTTTACATGAAACATAACAAAACGTAGTTTCATGCCCCAAGTGAGAAAACAGGAGTAGGGCAGAATTCTTTCCCTCCTGAGACGTAATCCTGTTAAAAATCCCTTTAGTTCTAACATTGACAAACTGTAATAAATGCCAATGCTCCCCAATAGCACAGAGCTCAACTATATGAAAGTTGTTTTGGCATTTTTCCTGCATAATTTGGCTTTTATCCATTTCACAACTCAAAAGTACTCATATCAAGATAATTAGAAGGAAAATTAATCAATTTTTTCCTTATAAAACAGTTTTATCATAGAAAAATTTAAAACTACTGTTTACTATGGGTTCTGAGACGTATCTTCATTTAAACTCTCCTTTCCATTACTACATTTGATAGGTGAGAGCTTGTTCTAATATCACCACTTTAGGGTCTTCCTGGGACATAATTAGTAAGGTATATTAAAGGCTATAGTCATAGATTCCATCAGGGATAGTGCTAACAATTTCCTTTTATATTTGTAAGAGTGGCCATCACACACAAAAGCTTTCATGTGATAACTAGAGATGGGAATATTTTTGACATAAAAATCAAATGCAAAGAATTCAATAGACAATTTATGAAAAACAACACTTCTCCTTCTGGTTGAAGATAGTAAATATATATACTATTTGATATGTATCTTAAAAGATTCAAAATGATAATTAAAATAGATATAATTATACCATTTACATGATATATACCTAAATTGGGAAGATTTGTTATCTACTTTTTTCCCTGGATATAAGATAATGTTAAGAATCCTCACTAATTATCTCTTCATAATTAACTGTCATTCTCAACTGGGATCTGAGTTGATCTTTCTCCAGCACAATTCTTATCATAATAATTATCTATACTCAAGTCACTAGTGGTTGTGTCATTAAACAGATGGCTAAACTGCCACATGGTGCTTTTGGAATTTAAAAAGTCACATTTTAATTGGGAATTTAAGACGTGATTGCTGTTGGAACAATGTAAATGTGTCTTTTCTTATATATGCAAGTAAAATCTACCACCACAGAAACAAACTATGCAAATTTTTTGATCCTGAAGCTGTAAACTAAACAACTTTGAGTCATCTGAAATTCAGCTGGATGCCACAGAATTTTTATAATTTTAAATAGGTAAAAAAAAATTAAGAATGTAAAGTTCATGGGTTAATGTAACAATGCTCTTTAGACTCTAGTGTTTAAGTAGAGTTTAATCAAGTATTAGATAAGGCCAGCGTGGGAGCAACAGTGAAATCCACTGATAATTTAAGTAAACAATTCAGTAGTTAGACTTCAGGTAGGGTCCTCAATTAAGATTATTCCTTCCAATCTTGTTACTTTATAAAATACATTATTAAGAATTCTGCAACTTGG